AGACACGCCATTTTCCACTCTTCTTCTTCGCGCAAATTGTGTTAGATAGCCATTCTGGGAACCGTATCTCTCGAATGGCGTTGGCCTTCAGGAGTTTGTCGATTTCTTCGTTGACCGCGCAGGCGTGATGCGGGGCCATGCGTCGTGGCTTCTGTTTGACTGGCTTATGCGCCGGGTCAACATGCAGCTTGTGCGTGATTATCTCGGGGTCTACCCCCATCATTTCCATTGCGTTCCAAGCGAACACGTCTGCATTTTCCCTTAGGAACTCAATCATCTCCTCCTGTTCGGCTGTGGGCATCGCGGTTCCAACTAAAAAATATCTTTCTTCTTCTCCCTCCACCAAGGGCACCTTCCGGAGGTCCTCCACCGATCGCTCACTTGGGTCTATTCGGGGGTCATCCATTCCTGGACGCCCGGACTGTGATTGTTATTTTTCCGTAATCTCTTCCGGGGCTCGCCCCTTTTCTTGGGTGAACGCCCCGGCTCTAACAGCTGAATAAAAATATTTTTTTGCGGACGCTTGGTCCCCCTGGATCTCCATGATACCTTCTGGCGTGACATTTTAGTTTCTGGTGGTAAGTGGAGTGCACCGCTCCCAACGCATGCAGCCATATTCGCCCCATGATCACGTTGTATNAGAGGGATCTGGTGATATCTTGCTCGGGCATCCAGGAAGTCCATGCGTTCATATCCGACAGTGACATCCACTAGCTGGTCCATCTTTGGTAAGGGGTAGTCATCCTTGGGACATGCCTTGTTTAGATCTGTGAAGTCTACGCAGACACGCCATTTTCCACTCTTCTTCTTCGCGCAAATTGTGTTAGATAGCCATTCTGGGAACCGTATCTCTCGAATGGCGTTGGCCTTCAGGAGTTTGTCGATTTCTTCGTTGACCGCGCAGGCGTGATGCGGGGCCATGCGTCGTGGCTTCTGTTTGACTGGCTTATGCGCCGGGTCAACATGCAGCTTGTGCGTGATTATCTCGGGGTCTACCCCCATCATTTCCATTGCGTTCCAAGCGAACACGTCTGCATTTTCCCTTAGGAACTCAATCATCTCCTCCTGTTCGGCTGTGGGCATCGCGGTTCCAACTAAAAAATATCTTTCTTCTTCTCCCTCCACCAAGGGCACCTTCCGGAGGTCCTCCACCGATCGCTCACTTGGGTCTATTCGGGGGTCATCCATTCCTGGACGCCCGGACTGTGATTGTTATTTTTCCGTAATCTCTTCCGGGGCTCGCCCCTTTTCTTGGGTGAACGCCCCGGCTCTAACAGCTGAATAAAAATATTTTTTTGCGGACGCTTGGTCCCCCTGGATCTCCATGATACCTTCTGGCGTGACATTTTAGTTTCTGGTGGTAAGTGGAGTGCACCGCTCCCAACGCATGCAGCCATATTCGCCCCATGATCACGTTGTATGGAGAGTCCGTATCAATCACGACAAACTCGGTGTTGATGATGAAGGGACCCGTGACAACTGACAATGTGATTTTGCCTACGGGCAGGGCGAACGAGCCGTTGAATCCGATGAGGGGTGTCCTGACCTTGGTGAGGTTCTTGAGGTCAAGACCCATTCGTTTTAAAGTCTCGGAGTACATCACTTTCGAGGAACTTCCAGAGTCTATCAACACCCTTTTTACGTCGAATTTACATATCTTCAGGGTTAAGACAAGAGCGTTGTTATGAGGAGTCAGTACGTCTGTCAAGTCCGCGTCGGAGAACGTGATGCCGGGCTCACCAGTCCTGGCCCTTTTACTGGATGGCCCCCCATCATCCTCGGCTACCTTCCTTGTAAAAGCTACCCTCTTGAGGTCGGACTCGAGTTCCTTGGACGTGGGGCGATCTAGGGGACATACATGGATGACATCTATGACGTTGTCCGGCTCCTCGGTCGGGGCAAGGGTGTGTCTCTCTTCTGGCCTAGGCTCTATGCACTCTTTTAAGTATCCGTTTCGGACCAATCTTTCCAAGAATGATTTATATACCCTGCAGCTTTCGGTGCGATGTTCGAAATCTCGGTGATAGGAACACCTAACCTTTTGATCACGGGTGAAAGGATCGCTCTGCATCCTGGACGGCCACTTGAAGAGCGGCTCATGTTTGATCTTATGGAGCAACTTGAAGATGGGTTCCTTGAACATAGTGTGAACTCCTTTGGACGAACCCCCTGGAGGGGGTAGCAATCCCTTTCGGGGAGTATCCTCCCGCTCCCTCTCTTTTCTCTTAAATTGGAGGGTTCGACCTTTGCTGCTTCCCATCTCGTCCTCAATTCTTGAATATTTGTTTATCCGGTCCATCAACTCGTCCATATTCGAGGGAGTCTTCTTGGTCAGGGATTGGTACAGGTCCGTGTCCCTCGCAAAGCCGAGCCTGAAAGACGCCGCTGCTATGACTTCTGAGCAGCCTTCTACCTCATTAACCTCTTTCCAGTATCGGATGACATATTGGCGAAGGGTCTCGGATTCCCTACGTTTGAGCGTTAGCAATGATCCAACGTCTTTGGGCCGCTTACTCCCCGTAATGAATCGAGCTAGGAACTGCCCCGTCAATTCCTTCCATGATCCAATACTGTTGGGGGGAAGCACCTCGAACCACTTCATCGCAGAGTCCCCCAAGCTCATAGGAAACACTCGGCAGAGGAACCGTTGGTCCGAATGATAGAGGGACATCATCTGCTTGTATTGCCTGAGATGGGCTTCGGGATCGGACCGCCCGTCATAAGTTTTGAACCTCGGCACGACAAACTTTCTTGAAACCTCCATCTCTCCGATCTCCCTAGTAAAGGGTGTTTGTATGACATCGTCTTCGTCCTCATCCTAGACAGCCTTACTCTTTCTCCTGCATTCCAACCGGGCTCTGAGATCAATTTTCTCCCTGACGGGATGTCTTCTGAAGTCCTTGAGTTCATCAATAGGCACCCTATTTCCTGGGCGCCGTGTGGATAGGATAGAATCCTCCTCGGATTCATCTCCCTTCCTCCATCTAGACAATCCTCGCCGGAGGTCGTCCAAGGCTAATGGCCTTGCCTTCCTTGAATGGTCGTTAAGAGGGTGCTCGTTGGCTCTCGGTCGCTTTGGGGCCCTGGAGCTTTCTGCCTTGTAGTTTAGATGATTCCTTATATCCTTCGTTTTCGCCTCCTGGGCGGGGAGCCCACGAGAAAGGAATCAGTCCCTCGACCCTTCGCCGGAGGCGGCAAATTCGTTGAGCCGACTTAGGACGTTTATATTGTCCTTTTCTAGCTGTCGTAATCTATCGCCAAACTTTTCTTCGATCACCTCCGCCAACTGACGAGCCAAGGGGGCTGATCCTCCTGACTTGATTCCCATACTGGTTTGAGGGGTAACCCCTCTTGACTGAGTAGAGGTATTTTTACTCTCATCAGTGTGATCCCTCCCTCCATGGTGACAGGGAGCTTGTAATTCGAGACTTCTTTGGTGGGGACCTTTCCCTTTTTGTCGAGTGTTCACCATGGTCACTGTTCTTTATAGAAAAAAAACTAGGAAAACTAGTTGTTTCCCACAGACGGCGCCAGATTGTGCGTGCTAGATCTTGCACAATATAAAAACGAGAACAGATCTCTCCCTTGGTGAACTCGAGTAAGTTAGTTGAGTGGTCAACCACGCTGCTTGGAACAGCCTGTGAGATCCGGTGGTAACCCGGAACGGTAATGGGAGACCCTCGCGGATCAAAGGAACGATCCAATAAGGCTAAAGGAAGGTTCCTGGAACAAAGAAGAACAAGTTAGAAGGGCGCCGGAGTGTTTTTCGGCGTATCCCTTTTGATGATCAAGTCAATTTTTGAGAGAGAGGAAGAAGAAAACACTGAGTATAATTTGTAGCAAAAGTTTCACCTTATTTTTCTTGCCTTTAGTGAGGAGTATTTATACCTCAAATACTCATGATTGCTGTCAGTGTGGTCAGTAGGTGATCATTAGATACAGGCAACGTGCGCACTGATTCCTACGAGGAATGTCTTCTCTTTTAACTGCTCGGGACCCCGAGCAATCAAGACTGTGTCATCGGCCTGCCGACGGTTCAATGAGCTCTTCTCGGGGAGGATGCAATAAATGCCCAGCCTTAGAGACATTTATTACCTTTCACTTCCGAGCCTTACCGCATTGAATGTAGTCTCATCAAGGGAATGGTGTAATTAAATACTTGCTTTCCCAAGTCGCGTGTCAGCAAGGTCATGCGGTCTTTCTGTCTCTGATGTGACACAATATGCCACGAGTCCATTTTCTATTGGCTGTGGCCCCTGTCTTCCTGTGCCTTCTGACACCAATTGTGTAAGACAAGATCATGATAGCTAACTTAGCCTAGCCTAGACTAGTGACCTGTACATCAATAGCCTCTGCTGGGGCAGAGAACGACATCCTGGACGAGGGGGGTACATCTCGGTACCGAGGAAGAGGTACATCTCAGAGCCGAGGAAGAGGTACATCTCGGAGCTGAGGAATAGGTACATCTCGGAGCCGAGGAATAGGTATATCTTGAAGCCGAGAGGGGGAGGCTTAGCGACCGATGTACCATATCAGACCGATGGTACGTGTCGGTACATAAAAACGTACTGGATGCCACTCGATCCCTATGATCAGTACCTCGGGGGAGAGGGGACTTGTGACCCGATGGATACGTGATCTCGGTAACAAGGATTAATGACACCGAGAATATGTGTTTTCATCTTGGAGTATTTCGAAAATGTCCCATAAACTAACTAAATTAAAGGAAAGATGTAAGATTGATGTACAAATAGACAAAAGTTTAAAGGCTAATTAGCAAAGCTCAGTTAGACAATTGCAAATAGCAGTCAGGGGCATCTTAAGTCATTTTCACATTTGACTATAGTTGACAGCGAACCAGGCACTTTGTTCGCCACAGAGAGACTCCGTACTGACTAACTGTCTCTTAAATCTCTCGTTCATTCCTTCCTCTCTTCCAATTTCAAACCTCTGCAAAGCACACATCAACAAGCTCACTCTCTCTCTCTCTCTCTCTCTACATGGCCACAGTACCTGTTGAAGAACCTTCACAACCTCTGAAATACCAGGTATATCCATATTCTTCTTCACTATGGTTTACCTTTCTGGTACCATACAAGCTTATTCATGATGTTTTCAGACATGGGTTTTGAAAGTTTCCATCCACTGTGAAGAATGCAAGAGAAAAGTCAAGAGAGTTCTTCATAGCATTGAAGGTATACTCAAATCAAACCTGTTTGGTTGCCGGGAAAGTGTAGGACAAGAAAGTAGTTCTTTTCTTTCCTCTAGTTTTTCCACCCACCAAGGTCATACTCTATTTGATATAACTCTTGGTTTCACTTTGTTATACTGTATATTCGATTTCTCTGCAGGTGTTTATACCACGGTCATTGATTCACAGCAACAAAAAGTTACAGTCATCGGAGACATTGACGCACCGATCCTGATAAAGAAGCTTGTGAAAAGTGGTAAACGTGCCGAGATGTGGCCGGAAAAGGTGTCCAGAAAAGAGAAAAAGTCCGGCAAATCAAAGGACAAAGAGAAACAAAAGGACCCAAAAAATAGCGATGAGAGTGACGATGAAGATGAAGAAAATACAGCTGAGAATGGTGAAGTGCAAAACAGTGGGACTTCTGTCAAATTTGTTCTCCGTGGGAGTGTTACCGGATGTAACAAAGAGGCAAAAAATGTAGGGAAGTCGCCGGGAAACGCTCCCTCCGGCGAGAAGTTTCCGGCGAAGGACCAAAAGGGCAATGGAAACAATGGGTCTGCTCAGAAAAGTGGTGGAGAGACTGGTGGTAAAAAGAAGAAAAAGAAAGGGGGAAAAGGTAATAATGCCATTAACACTACCGGTGCACCAGCAGGCACTGGATCGGAGATTCATATACAGGTTCCCACTCAAGGTATTGATCAAATGAATCTCAGCTCTACACATCAGCATCCAATCCAGTACCCGCCAAGTTACACCCCTCAACAAGCGCCCCATCCTACCATCAATACTGGTCCTACTTACTACATTCCTTCGTCACCGTTCACGTATGCATATTCACAACCGGCGGTTTATCCGATGCAACAGTCGCCGTTGGATTCGTTCGAAATACTTAGTGATGAGAACCCTAATGGGTGCTACATCATGTGATCAGTGTGATGCGATTGCAGTCAACGGTGGATGATGTTTTTGACTTGTTTTTGGAGATGGCTAAGATGAAAGCAAGAGTGAACCATCTTGTCATATGTACATAAGACTATAGTGCCAGCAAAATGGAAGGATTAGCAAATTTAGGATGGTTTCACTTTGCCAAGGAACCAAGATTTGTGTTTGTTTTTCTTCAAGTCCCAATCCCAATCCCAATCTGCTCTCGCTCGTCTTTACTAACAGGTTCTCAATTGATTGGGGTTGTAGATCTCTATGCCTATTAGGGGATAAATTGTTGGTCGAGTAGTTTTTAACACTATATCTCACTTTGACATGAAATTTTCGAGAAATTATCGGATATAAATTTTTTTTAATGAATTCAAGACTATGACCGAGTTGAGTAACTAGGCTTTCAAGCTCTATAGCAACCCCATTAAGGTACTACGAGAAAACTTTTAACTTGGTTTTCAAATGATTTTACGAATCCAAAATACATATTCTAATTACGAGTCCAAAAGAACATGTGATTGAAATGATTCTATTCATTGAAACTACCTAGAAAAGATTGAAGTTATCCGTACAAAGTTATTCCACAAGAACATTAAAAGGACAGAACTGATTCTTGACATAAAATTCCAAAGCACAGTTGCAGTACATACACACACACACACATATGTGTGTGAGAGTGCGAGTGCTGAGAATTTGCTCCTGTTGCTGCTGTGAAACGCAAGAAAGCCTTTAGAAGCACTTGATGGGAAAGAATAATTGAGGCTCACCATACAATGGAGAATATTCACTATGCTCTGGTCTTCTTCACTAACCTAGAGAGTGCTATATCTTATCTATTATATTCATTGATTGATCTTGAATTGTTACCAAGGAATGGGTAAGGCTAATCTTAGAATCTCCATCTAGAATAAGATTGAGAGCTAGTTGAAGCAAATCACAAATCTATGGGTAAATTACAATGACACCTTCAAACTATATGCTTAGTATCCTGCCATTTGTTAATATTTTCTAAAAAGACCAAGAAATTAAATTTCGTTTCCAAACGAATCATTGATTGAATATCAAAATTTTTATATTTCAAAGTGTTTTGGTGTGTTTCGACATACCTCTGTATAAGACTAATAGACATAAGCGCTAAAAATACTTAACAAGTCATTTAAAATATTATTTTTGCTGGTATCATCTTTTTCAATGGCCCAACAGATCTTACTATTACAATGTTGAATCATTGGGGGATGATATTGTAATTTATCCAAAATTTATGCATTCAAATACTCTATATCTTTTGACCTACTCTTGATTAAAAGCAACAGTGAATTTTGTTATCCTTTCAAGTTGATTGTCCAGTTGACATTCTAAGCTCAGGTCAAATGAGGCCACATTTATCTTTAGGAATAATATTCTCTTCTTTCTTCCTCTTACTTTTCTTTGATTAATCAAAGTTAACATAATATCAGAGCATGGTTTCAATCCAAAATATATATTGTAGTACCACAGTAATTTAATTGGAGGAAGAATATATTCTTGAGTTGTGTGATTTGAGGGTTAGATATTGGTGGATTGCTATTTTTTTTTGATTCCAAGAGTTGTGAACAGTGCGAAAGTACTGTTCACGCACTGTGAACAGTACCGACATTACTGTTCATGCTGTGAACAGTGCTGATTTTGATTTTTAGTGCCTTTTGGTGTTTTGCTACTGTCTTGCTATTTTGTTACTGTTTTGCTGTCTCTATTTGTCTTCTGGACTTTTGAAAGTTATGGAATTTGAGTTGTCTAGTTGCTGGTTTGATTTATTAGCTCGAGATACTTGTATTAAGGCCTATTGAGCGTCTGCTTCTTTGTTGATTTTTGGTTTGTGAAGTTGGTAGGTTGGGATCTGCTGTTTAGATTGCTATTTTTGTTGATTTGTTGTTGCCTCTTCTCTTCTGCTGGTGCTTTTTCTTCTTCTAGTTGCTAGTCTGGTTGTTTCTTCTTTGTTTGCTACTGTTGCTTTGGGCTTTTGGACTGATTTGTTGATTAGTTGGTTTTGTGCATTGGTGAGTTGTCACGTTGTTGGTTTTTGATTTGTTCGTTTGGGCTTGCTATTTGACATAGCGTTGCATTGTTTCGCACTGAATAAGTAGGAAACTTTTGTTTCCATTTGCATTGTTTCGCATTGAATAAGCAGGAAACTTTTGTTTTCACTTTTGATTGGTGGGTTTGAGCCTTTGTGACTGATTTTGTGAACGAATTGCTGGGCGAGTATTTGATTTGTAAAGTTGTTAAGTTGATTTGTGACGAACTTTAAATTGTTTGGCGTTGTCTACATCTTTTGGTTCTAGTTTCTGATTTTAACTACTGCTAGTTTGAGACTAGTTCTGGTTTGTTTTTTTTTTTTGTTGGGATTTATTTTGTTGAGCATTGTTGCTGGTGATTTTTGTTGAGCTTTAGTTTTCTGTTGGACCTCTCATTGCTATTTCATCGTCTCTGGAACTTCGTGCTTACTTTGATGCGGACTGGACTGGTGACTCTATGTATCGCAAGTTCATTATTGGTTTCTGTCTTTTCATTGGTGATTGTTTTATTTCGTGGAAAAGTAAGAAATAAACTGTTGTGACTCGATCATCTGCTGAAATTGAGTATCATGTTATGACCTTCCTAACAACGGAGATAGTTTGATTGTATTGGCTCCTTAAAGATGACATAAGCACAAAGGTTAATGGAGCATATTTTTCCTACTTTGACTTTGCCAACGGCCAAGAATAAAGATAAGCACCAACATAGAGTATCATTTTAACATGAAAAGGCAATGCATGATCAGACTAGTTGAACATTTCACGATAAAGAGAGTGATTCTTAGTCTCAATTAGATTACTGTTTAGCCGAGCTCATCTGATGGGGACACTTAGCAATTTTTAACAATGTAATCAATACCTGCAACCATTTACCTTCTTTGCCAAGCCTCTCACCTATTGACCATGTTCCCAATAAAACTTGGAAACAATATATATAAAACAAAAAAAACCATATTTACAATTTTCGCGAAAGGTGGCATTCATGAAACCCATAATTGCATTGCACATCGGGCAGCAAACTATATACATATTAAAAATAGAACACGTCGACAAAATTTTAAGGTTTTCAATCCCAAAAAAAACAATGATCACAAATTACAGAATATGAAATGAAAAGGATGTTGTGTTAGATTTCATAGAAAGCTTGGAGAAGAAGACGGAGGCACACAGAGAAGGTAAGAGAAACAATTATTTTCCATTACATTTTCAGTTCAGAATACAAGTATTTATAGTCAATCCTAGTTACAATGCCAGCAACGACTAACTAACTAACAGACTGTCTTGTAGGCAAGTGACTTCAGCAACCGACTCCAATGCAGTCACATGATATGAAGGAAATACTTGTGTGTAGTGCTGGTATTGTATAATATGTAGAAGAACTTATAGGCATGTTGATGCCTTTGAAGTGCGCTTATTTGTCCCCAGGATGATCACAATTACTGTTACATCATCGTGATATTTCCTTCGCCTACCAGCTGGGATATTCATCAACTCCTCCATGGTGAAACCTGCAACAGTAAATTAATGCTTTGAACAATTGAGAATTGTGGGACCAAATTGTGGGCATTTTGATAATAGATTTGGTTGCATACACTTTTCGTAGGTTCAACCTGTAAGTTAAAGGTGGGATTTAACAAGCCCTTAGTGTTATTCTTTCGTTGACCACCTTAATGTGCAAAAAATTCTGAACCTAGTCAATTTTTATTCAAAGATAAGGAAACATAGCAGAGTGCATCAATGCTGTCAGATTAAGCATCAGTAATGGGCATATCATAAAGGTGTTCTTATTAGATGGAATCAAGATTTTGAAGTACTTAAATCATAAAACAACAGAGATGAAAGAATAATCGTATTTGAGCCCAAGACAATTGGCACTGTACCTGCACAATCAGCTGCTCTCACTACAAGCTGCTCCAATAGAAACTTTGCTGGATCACCCGAAGGGTTGCTTAAGATATAAGAATGTACAAGCATCACTGCCTCATCATTGCTGAAGAAGTCAAATAAACCATCGCTTCCAAGTATGACAAAGTGATCAGAATTCGAAATTTCATGGACTTTAAGTGACGGCTGAATGGAGATGTATGGTGGACTTATAAGATTACGAACCCGAAGAATACCCATCAAAGCATCATTCATATTTTTCTGCATAAATAAATCAGAATAGTTTATTCCTTGTTGAGGATAAATCTACTCCAATAAAAGTACAATTACAAGTGGGTAAAGACATGCAGGATCCGAGCTCTCTGTTTTACTTCCAAGTGAGACGAGCCACTTTGCCAAAACCTTTATTTTGTTTTGTTAAGAAAAAATATTCAATACATGTTTCCTAGTTTGCAAGTTGGTGACTTTCGCTTTTCAGATCAAAGATGGTATAAACATTTGTTGGTGCAAGGTGATTAATAAAGTAAAAAAATAAAAATTTCTACCTTCTTTAAGTAGCCGACTCCTAATGCCCGAGTGACTTGCAACTTTCCTTTCACCTTTCCAGCTACAACTGTGGTCGGGTCATCTGGATGATCACACAAAAGTAGGGTTCTCTCGACTTCATTGTCAACAGTATGACTATCAGTGAGCTGAATAGCCAGCAGTCCATTATTCTCATTCATCTCATTGCCTTCACCATATGTTGCCAATACAGTCCGACTATCACCTAAGTTGAGCACATACAAGTCTTTCCCATGGAGAAGCACAACTAAAACACAAGATCCAATTGACACTAAATCGGGACGGTTGTCCATTTCTTGTTCAACCCTGTACAGGAAATCATTCTCTGCTTGACCAAGAGCACGTTGAAGGCTATCAAGGACCCTATGTTTGAATGAATCAGATGATCTTCCCCATTCAGCGCAGGAAGGTCTATTGACATAGTAATCAAGATACGTGCCCTTGTTAGCATTTTTTATAGCAATATTACCCTCATTTCTATTGTAAACATCAAGATTACAGTGAAGGGACCCATCTGAACCCAAACTATCAGAAGCTCTAATTGGATCCTGCTTGAATTCCCAGTCTAAGAGGTTAAGGTAAAACCCAATAGTTTCATATAATGTTCCAGCAAGAAAATCGGCGGCATCTCTTCCATTGAAGCCATCATAGATGGCACAGAAAAGCCACCCATTCTCTTCAGAACAAACGGCCTGAACTCTGTCTTCACCGGCAGCACCACCTGCCACTTGTACTTCCATAGTATTTAGGAAACCTTCACTTCTGGAAGGAGCACTCATGGACTTCAAAGAAAAGGAATCATATTCAAGTAGATCACTTGTAGTGGATGGACTACAGCTCAAGTTTGAATTGCTACTCTGGAGAGACGATGATAACAGATCCAACTTTGAAAGTGAGGGTGAAGAAGGAATCTTCCGAAATGAATTGGGGGAGTCCCAAGTAGGGAGTATTTCTGCCCCAATTAATCCATTGCAAATATTTGTGTTAGCCAATGTGGCATTGGCACTTAAGGCAGCCCCAGACAGGCAGGAGAAGGAACTGTTGGTTCTTCGTAGTTTAATTCCAGATGGGATATCAATACCATCAGATAAGTCACAAGAATTGCCTTTTTCGTCATTGCATTGATAGCCAAAACTTACTTTAATTTCTCCGTACGCATCTTTTGTTTTCATTCCACGCGTCATCTATAGCTGAAAACATCACCAATATCCCAATTTGTAATCGAATAAATACTATTTGCAAATAAAATTGGATCAGCACCAATTCTTTTCTTTTCACAGATGCCCTCTACCATAGTGGTGCACTTTTTACTCTCTTATTGCCGTTCTTTTTAACATGCAGTGAACAAGATTACTAATTTACAAACAACAGATAATTTGTCAGAAATGTGCGTTGATAGCAAAAAATCAAATCTAATTACCTGGGATTTATGTAAGGTTTACAATCAACAAATTGTACGATTCAAAAATCCCAATCTGTAGCTGTATAAATAAAATATACATAAACAGAGTTGTCACTTATAACTCAATGTTCTAGAATCAAAAACTAAAATTACCAGCCATAACACTTGCTTGCCCCAAATTTCTTCGTGTAAGAACAATAGTGAGATTTGTTGGAGATAAATTAGTAAAATATACATGGGTTAGAGAGAGAGAGAGAGGGGGGGGGGGGCAACCTGGTTAAATCAAGAAGGGATCCCTACAAGGGTCTGATTTCTTTGTTCTTTGCGCAGCAATCAGAAGTCACAAATGGGGATGGGATGTGGATTATCAGCCCAAACACATTCATAAACACCAATTCATACAATCAACCAAAATAAAACTCAGTAAAAGTTACAGACTAAATGACCCCATATAAACAAAATCCACATGCATATTCACTACCCAAACATAGAAGAAGCATATTAAAGAGTTAAAGTTCAACTCAGCTAACCTTCTTGATCTCCAAAAGCAAACCCAGATCAACAAAACACTTAGAATGCTATTCTTGTTTCAGTGATTAGTGAACTGAAAGTATGTATATGGGTTTGTATTAGCATCCCTGTGTGGCACAAGAAAAAGGAATACTAACTTGTGAATTTAGAGGGAATCTCGGAAGGAAGAGAGAGAGAGAGAGAGAGAGAGGCAAAAGAGAAATTGAATGGTTAGGAAGAGAGATGGCTGAATATAGAGAAATTTTATTCGGCTGAGGTTGTGGGTGGAGGCAAGTCAAAAGTTCAGATACACCAAAACCGGTAATTTGTTATAGTAGTTGTGCAGACTGTAGAGGGAAAAGTGTTGTTTCATTTTGGTGCGGAATAGTCTCCACATTTTTAGCTATATTATGAAGTTGCCCCCTTTGACTTTTTTTCCAGATTTTTTTTAATTTTTTTTTTAATTTTTTGTGTTTACAGACATACAAACCGCTTAAAGTCCATTAAGAAATGAAATGATTGTTCTTTCCTAAAGTCAAGCTGAGATTTATATTTCAATCCCATCACATTGCCTCTAAGAACTTACAAAAAATACATTAAAAAAAAAGTAGATGAGAGAGAAGTTGAAGAATTGGGAAAATGGATTATACTAGAATGGTTAAGAATTTCTGCAGGAGGAATGTTTAATATGAAAGATTAAAAAATACGATAATTAAATATTTATGGAGGGAAGACTACGCGCGTTTGATTCTCTTTATAGATATATTTGAAGAAAGATAGTAACCCATGATATGTGGCCTGAAATTATTGAATTTCGATCGCAATTAAGTTATGCTGATGATAATATTTTTGGGCACTCTCTCTCATTGAAGGATATTTTTAGGAAAATAAATGAGTATACATTCATTAAGCCTGCAACTTGAACAAGCCTGGATATGGTAGGGACACAAGACCCAGACACCCAAGAAAACTGGAGCCCCAGACTGGTTCTCAACCGTGGCCATGCACTTCTATGTGGATCACATTAGTAGATCCCCCATGCATTGCTCCAAACAGGTAACAAGATAGAATGCAGCCATGTACACTTCCAGTGGCCCTCACCATATATTTTGCTTGGGTGAGATAGTGACAAACATCAACATGTGAAAATGTGCGTGTGTGTGTGTGTGTGAGAGAGAGAGAGAGAGAGAGAGACGTTGTAATAAAAACCTCAAGTTCTAACAAAGAACTCAAGTGTTATTTCATTTGTTATAGATTCTCAAATCTCAGTCAAGTATGAACCCCTCTAGAGTATTGATTCCTACAGTTACCTTCAAGACTACATTTACCAAGCCATAATAAATACCATCAATTGTCAGATGCTTGTAGCATCAATAAGGACTAAGGAGATACACACCATTAACATAAGTGGAAGCCCATCTAGAAACAGAAGGATACAGTTCAAGAATCAAAATTAGGATCCAACATTATAGAACACTTTTGTCAGCCCCTTCTTTGTCCGCATTTGAGAAACCTGGATACGAAGTTTAAAAATGTCACCAAGAGCAAGAACATAGTCCGTGAATCATCAACTCAATACCGTTGGACAAGAAATATAAGGAATTGAAATACATGGTTATAACTACTGGTTGTGTAAGAAAACCTTAGAAAAGAATATAAAAGACAAGACTCAAGAAGAAAAGTTCGTTTTGTCAGTATTTTGAAGCAGCAATATTGAAAAAACTTATTTGTCAATCCACTCCCTGAGATTTTTATCAATTCATAGGGCTCTAGAGTCTAGGCAGTTTAACTAACCTTGATTTCTGTGTGGCCTATTCAGTAAAACATGTTTTAGAAGTTGGCATAAACCTTAATGCACAGATAATTCTGATTCCATGTTCTTGTAGAAAAGCACACATATTCTCAGCAGAATATGATGGCATAAACTGAAAGAATCTATGCAAATCAGATTTACAGGCACTGAGCGGTAATCTACATAAATTGCAAGTGAGAAAAATGATATCAGTACCTTCATACTCATGATTTCAGAAATATCAGAAACATGTGTACCGCCACAAGGACAGCCTGGATTATTTCCCAACTTCAGAATCCGAGGAGTGCTTTCCTGCATTAGTTGCAAACAAAATAATTAATCTTCATCAAATTGTAGCTCTGAAACTGGAAAGCCCTGAATGAGCAGGGATAAAAAGATCCATGTTTATGTAAGGCTCTGTTAAACTGAAGCACCATTTGTTCATCAAGATTCTATATGGATTATCCATTAACATGAAAAAGTAATGACGAAGAAACTAATAACTCACAAATGCTCTCTCAACTAATCCACCTTTGATTCAGAGAGCAGTTTTTCAAATAACAGTTAAACTATCTGTGGGCTCTGGTAGTGTCTCTTAAGTAATTAATGACCGAACATAAGATCCAAATAACAAGCTATGCGCAAACAACATGCACTAAGACTAGTGACATGTATCCAGAAAGGACATGTTCAAACGACGAAACTGTTTAACCAGACATAAGTACATCAAAACCGTCATATTCTTCAGAAAGACAGTCAGAGAGCTACCGGCAAAAGGATTTTTGTGATCATCTCATCAGCTTTCTACGTGCTTATAATGACATTAGACCAAAACGGAAACATGGGGCATGACCAGCGACCAGGATAAAATCCTTTGCTTTGATATGCCACAGATTGTGTATGCCGTGAAAAACATAGATATGGAAATGAAAGACACTAAAAGGGAGAGCCTTTTTTGTTTATCAAAGAAATATAAACAACACACACTAGGTATCCGACCAATAGATGAATAAGTATGAACCTGGCAAAATAAACCAATGCACACTTGTTAAAACAGAACATTGCCTACTCTCAGCTTCCTTTTGCCATTCTACTTAAACGACAACACTTTAAAGAAATCAATACTTCAAAATTAAGCAGAAGAAAGCAAGACAAAAAGTGTGAGTAACATGTTTGGTAGATGAAGTTGAAAAAAGATGCAAAACATATGTTTCATTAATATTCCACACATAAACTTTCTAAGTAAACATGTCCCATCTGCATTTGGTTTCCCTTCCCTACACACCATATAGTTACTTATTCTTGGTGCACCTGAGCAGAATACAAAAAATAAATAAATAGATAAAGGTCGACATCATTGCTAAAACCCTGACCTTGGGAATGTAATCAGGAAGGCATCCACCACACAGTTTACAAGCTTCATCATATGGTAAAATAGCAGCAGAAATCTGAAAGGAATGTTGAAGAGAGTACTCAAATATTAATTATAAAATGAAAAAATGATCCATCCAGAAAAGAATGTAGGAATTAACATACTTTCCCTCCCCCAGATATCAAATCATTAGCTCGTAGTTCTAACTCCTTTTGTTTGCTTTGCAATTCATTCTGTGGAACTGTGCCTTTATATTCTACAAATGGCCTGACAAATGATGAACTTCATAAATACCAATTCCAAGGAACTGGATTCGCAATTAAAGGCCTTGCACAACCATGAAATATACTCATAAATTAAAGAGTAAAATCTTCTTAAGTTTGATATTCTATTGATATAGACACGTACAATAAGTTTACAAGATAAATTTGCACTTTAGAGGATATAGTCAACATTATAACCATAAGGAAAATGGTAACCGTCATCATGTGAAATCCTACCCATCAGGAAAATGGTAGCCCTTGCCTTGCTCTAAATGACCTAAACCCACATTCCTCATACATACATCAAGCAAATGACCAGCCGAGTGTAGCCTGCACAAAACAAAGATACAAAATTACAATATCCCAAAACAAGGAAATGAATTATTGGTAAAAGCAAGAATTGTTGCGGGAATAAAGGAAGACAAACAAGTATTCGGACAATTGGACATAACGTATCACGAGATGTTTAAGCTACTCAAAGAACGAAGTGGCGGAAACAAATTGTAGTGAATAGAAAAGATAACATCCTAAAAGATATGGAATTCAAAGAAAGCCAACAAAAAGATATTTAGAAATCAATTTGAACAGCATAAGATTATTAACTTCAAAAAGCATAGTAAGCTACTAATATTGGGTTGAACAGGCATTCAATATATGCATTCTCATATATGTAATTACGTGAACAATCAACAAGTTTCCATTTTTGAATATGGTATACCTAGAATTGAGCTTTCGCCTCGGTTCATCCACATTTAGACTAACTTCAACAACTTTCTCAAGTTCGGATTCGAGTACCCCATTTTCAGAATTTTCAACAAATCCATAGTGAAAAACCTGTTATTAGAACAATTAA